AAATAATCTCCTACCCCAACCCCCCCTCAATCATAAAAAGATGCAAACTAAAAACAATGAAATATAAAATGAATAACAATACAAAATACTAATTAAAAGCAGAAGAAATAACAAATTTGCTAAAATTAGAACTAATTAGAGGTGAGACATCTGTCTTTCTTGGGGTAGATGGAGAAGATTAATATCAGTGGAGGGGAGGCTAATCTGGAAAGAGCTGCCAGAAGAGAGCCGACTTAACAGCCTTTCTAACAGCTTCTAGAGTGGTAATGTGATCAATCTCCTCCGGCAGACCATTGCATAACCCAGAGGCAGCAGATGAAAAGGCTCTCTGGGTGACCACAGCCAATCTGGTCTTCTTAGGCTACAGTAAATTCTTCCCAGAGTGCCTATGTGTGCGGGGTGGATTATGTGGAGGAAGATGCTCCTGTAAGTAGTCTGGACCTAGGCAATGTAGGGCTTTAAAGGATATAACCAACACTTTGTACCATGCCCTTAAACTAATTGGCAGCCGATGAAGAGATTTTAGGACAAGTGTTATATGGTCAGTTCTAGATGTACCTGCGACCAGCCTGGCTGCCATATTTTGCACTACATAAAGATTTCCATCTTGACTCAATTGGGTAATTGCTTTATTTTCCTTCTTTTTTCTTAATTTATAAGCCAAAAATGTACCTGGTTTATTTCCAAACTTGAAATATTTTTGCTGGCTATATTTCATTTTCTTATTTCCTTTAACTGTGAATTAAAATTACTCCAAATCAATTAATTTGGCTTTTTAAATTCTTCCAAATTTCTCAATATTTATTTCTGTTTGCTTCCTAATATTCCTTTATTCTCAGCAATGTGATCTCTCCACACAACAGTCAGCTGAAGAATGACAGGATCACATGAGATCAGGCAGATAGAGAGAAAGACAGACAGGCAGGCAAACAGATAGATACTACATCCCAATCTATTATACCATTGCTTCACAAACTTTGCAGAAATTTTGTGTAGGTAAAAAAATTTCCCCTGTTCTATGCATTTACTGGGAATGGGGAGCTATGGAGTGCTATTTCCATAGACTTTCACAATGGGAAACATGAGAAAAAAAGTGGCTGAAAATGAATGGGAAAGTGACTGAATGGAACAAACAAATAAAAAAAGTACATGCAATTGCATAATTACTGAAAGCTTTGTGAAATGGTGTCACAGGAGACACAGGTTTTGTGCAAAGAACTTTAAAAGAGGAATTAAAAGCAGATGCTGCCTAAGGCTTTATTTGTTTTTTGGGTGCTCAGATGCCAGTTTTTAGGGAAAATCATCCCTTATCTGATTTCTATCTTGTCTTGAAGATGCTGTTTGCAGTAAATACTTTGGGGACACAAAGGGCAATTTTTCTGCACTGCCAAACACTGCCTTCCAAGAAGAAGGGTGAGAATAAGCAATTACAGGTGCAAAATGCCTCCCAAAGCTGCTGTATGAATGTCCACACAGCACAGAGATATGGAAAAATGTTGGGTGCTGCAATCACTATGATGGAAAGGAGGAGACGAGGAACAGAATCACTCCCACTCACACCATGTGACTACATGAGAAGCGGAACTTCAGCAGAAGGGACCTATTGCATGAAGGCAGCAATGGAATAGCAGCAAGATTGAGAGCTTGTTGACAGGTTTTGCCTATCAATAAAAAGGTGCACCACATTAACAAATGGAATGCAAGGCTGCAGGAGGACAGACACAACATTGTGTGATAAGTACTAGCCAATGACTCTTTTATCCTGTTAAAATTTCACTTTTCTAGCTTTGTGAGATAAAATCCTTATTTTTTGCTAAGAAATATTGACTGGTCTATAGTGGCTAAGCAAGCTTCATGGCTGCATAGGGATTTTAATCTGTATCTCTCTAGTTCTAGGTGAGCATACTGACCACTATGCCACAGTAGTTCTCACATATTTCAGGGGTGGATATTCCATGGTGCACCAGAGAATTCTGGACTGCAGCTCCCATAAGGCCCAGACACCATAGCCCATGGTGACTAATACTGAGAATTTCAGTCCAACACACAGAAGATTAGTACCTCCAAATTGCACCACACACATTTAATTGATTTATCAACTATAGCAAATATATAATTATAAAACCCAGAATTATATATGAGAAGAAGATTAAAGTGATTACTGTGCTATACTAGAATTGGGAAAAACCATGTTCAAATCCCATTCATTATTATCTATTATATCATTTAGTACTACAAGCTTCAGTCCCTAGGAGAGGGCATGCTATAAATTATATATATATATATATATATATTCCAAATTGTGTTTCTGAAATCCTTAACCAGATTTTCTGATTTCTTACTCCATTTAAAAATAATTTTAGCCATTTTCATATATGAAAATGACAACTTAAGCAATACATTTTCCTTCTGTGTAAAAATAATTTTATAAATTAATATTGAATAAAATTCTTTCTCAGCAACCACTGGCCTAAAAAATTATTACTGTGCTGTTCTATTAATGCAGAATTAAGAAATTATGCATAGCAGTTGTTAGATGACATATTTTTAAAAATAATTCTCCCATGTACTATATACTATCAACAGTAGTATATCCATTTCAGAAAACATGCTGGCTCTTTGGATGGAAATCTACTGAAATTCTTCTATCTCCTGAACAGGAAAAGGAAGTAACTACTCATAAAGAAATGATGAGCCTGACAAGCAGAAGAGCCACAATAAATCCCAAGGACTCATGTCATTGACTGTATGCACAGGTCATATAAATAACAGCATTTTTGGTCCTACCTTGTATTGTTTCTCTAAATACAGCAATTGCTGTTATCATTATGTTTGCATCCCACCTTTAACCCCAAACTGGAATTCATGGGGTTTTACAAAAATTAAAACAGATACTCAGTTAAAAGCACATATCAGCAAAACGTATACAAAGTTACAATATAATTACACTGTCAATAGAACAAAGCAATGTAAAATATATCCATCATCTGTTCACCTACTTTGTTGGGTCAAGGTTGATTGTTTGTGAGAGCTGGGAGGAGGCTTTGTGTTCTCATTAGTGTTCTTTTGTGTGGAGGCCCAAGTCCTCTGTCTGAGCCCACTGTCTCAGAGGAGCAGGGCATCTTCTTGAGAGGACATGAGTCAGAGATTTGGATGGGGATGGAGCTAGCAGTCACTAGCTCTCCATATAGCTGTAGCTGCCGAACCTGGAGCTCGGCAAACAGACAACGCCAATAGGCATTTCCTGTGGGCACTTAGCAAGGATGTTTTGAAGAGGCCTGGAGTTCTGTTTCAGTGCCTGCTTAAGGCTACTGAATATGGATGGTGCAGGAATTCCTACAATCACCTGCATCAGCTGTGGTATGTTTATGTTCTTGCCAGAAGATGTGGGTAGCTACACTAATAAAATAATAATAATAAATTTTATTTATAGCCCGCCCCTCTGCTCAGCAATCAGGGCGGGTTACAGCATTTTAAAACATACAAAGTTGAAAACATTCCCTCATCCCAAAATCTCCCCATCCATCCCATTAAAACAGGATTAAACTACAAAGAAATTAAAATGCCGTAATAAGACAAACAAGATAGTAAGGCAACCATAATACAAGGAACAATACAAGAAGAAAGGTCCCTTGGTTTACTAACAAAGATCTCCTGCCCCAGTCACAATCCTTGCCTGAGAAAGAAGACTGAGGAGCAAGAGCATTTGGACTTATTGCCTCTGGGCAGTAAGCCATACCCCAGATGCAGTTGCATCTGGGCAACAGGTAGCAGTTCTGTGTGAACTCTCTGGAACTAGAACAGTAAGTAAAATGTGAATTTTACTTATGTTGTGCGTGTGATTGGTTTGCTGTTTTTAGTGCTTTAATATTTTAAATTTTTTATTGAAATGGTTATGACTATGTTGTGTTTTTAACTGACGGTTTCATACTAGTACTATTTCATTCTTTTTTAATTTTTGCAATTAATGTTTTAGTTGTATCCCTTTAAATTATTATAAGCTTCCTTGAATCCCATTTTGGGGGAAAGGCAGGACATAAATCCGATAAAAAATAAATTTTATTTGCAAAGAATTATGTTGTGAAACCATCAATGGAAGTTACTTTTACAGGGGTTGCTTAGACCAAATCCAAGATATTTACATCCAGCAATATTATCTTACAGGGCCAGTGTGGTGTAGTGGTTTGAGTGTTGGACTCCAACTCTAGATACCAAAGTTCAATTCCCAGCTCAGCCATGAAACCCATTGGATGATCATGGGCAATTCACACTCTCTCAGCCTGAGGGGGAGGCAATGGCAAATTTCCAGTGAACCGAATCTTGCCAAGCAAACCCCATGACAGGTTCGGCTTAGGGTTGCCATCATTTGGAAATGACTTGACTCACACAACAACAAGCAACAATGTTATTTTATACATGCAAACACAAACACCTGTCTATATATGCTATTTTAGACACTTTAAAAAAATCAAAATAATGATGTGTAATGAAAGCCAAGACCTTAAGCCGAGGAGACGCAAAATAAAAATGTGAGTCTCTTAAAGTATACAATGACAGAAGGGAGCCTGAGCAATGTGCCATACGATAACTAGCTTTACTTCAGTCTTGTTCAGCCTCACTTTGAAACGGAGGTGTTCAGACCTGATTCCTTGACAGACACTGCGACAAAACATAAGCTGCAGCTGAAGCATAAGGGAAGTGGGAGGGAAGGGAGTGCCATCATCAAAGCAGGGGAATAATATACTTTATATTGTGGAGGAGTGGGATTGGAAACTGAAGCAAGAAGGAGCCTATAGAAGGAGGGGTGCTGCTATACAGAATGACAGAGAGAGAGGAGAGGCAAGGGATATATTATGAAGAGCTCTGCTATGATCATACCCTGCATTAGCCATAGGAAATGCAATGGAAAGGGAATTATGTTTGGCCCAGACTACCTGCACAGCTACAAAGACATTACTAAAATCTTATTATGAAGTTACAACGGGATTTTCCAATTGCATCAAGTAACTGCCTCAGCAAAAGATGGAACTGATTCAAAAAGTATGCCCTGGGGCAGAGGACTCTAAGCAGCCACATACATTCCAAGCTGTATTTATTTTCTGTATTTTCAAGAAGCCCATGACAGCAGATTTAAGCTCCTCAGGAGGGACTGCACTTGTGTGAGTTTCATCTGAGGTCTGCCACTTATGAACTGGTCCTTTGCACTTTGAGAATTAATTTGCTCGTATGCCATAATTTAAAAGAAAATGTGGCAAAAAGCTGATCTTAGCACTGTTTTCTAATGTATGTTAAGGCTGTGTTGCTAAGCACCCTGAGGGAAGAGAAAGTAAATCAAGTGAAGTACTTCAGATCAAACAGTATAATGGGAGTGGGGAACACTTGCTCTTCAGATCATGTTGGATACTTAGGCTGCATCTGCACTGTAGAAATAATGCAGCTTGACACCGCTTTAACTGCCACGGCTCAATGCTATGGAATCCTGAAATTTTTAGTTTGGAGGGGCATCAGACCTCTCTGATAGAGAAAGGTCAATATCTCACAAAACTACAGCTTCCAGAATTCCATAACGTTAAGCCATGGCAGTTAAAGCAGTGTCAAACTGCATTATTTCTGCAATGTAGATGGAGCCCTGTTCTCATCAGGCCTAGCCAGGGGACAGGGATGCTGGGAGTTATGGTTTAATAATATCTGAAGAATCTCAGAAACAGAAGATAGGTATGATCAGAAAACTCTACTAAGCAAAGCCTATTATAATTAATGTTTTACACTTACTGGAACTCATGGTATTCTCAGCAGTAGCTGCTAGATTGACATTGTGTATCGTATATTCCCAGGAAAGGGATGGAGAACGACAAAGGCTGCCATGGAAGCCTATGAACATCCAACTCTCTCTCAATAAACATCAGTGGTGGCTGGGGCCTCCCATGTCTGTGGAGCAGTAAATCTACTCTGTGCTGTAGTCTGAAATGTAAAGGTACTATCCAAGGCAATGAATCTATTTGAGGGATAGGGATTCCACATCTTGGACAAGTCCTTTCATGTTTGGATTAGAATCTAGAGCAGGAAGCCAGGTAGATCAGATAATTTCTGATGGCTTCTGGAGGACAGGGCTGGGAATTTATAGATCAATGCAAATGCTGGTGTTCTGAAATGTCCTCAAGACCTTCCTTTATTGTCTTTGCTTGGTGAAGTTGGTATGGGTAATTTGTCTTCTGTCTCTGAATGGGCAGGACTCTCTGCTTGAGCTGGTACTGCACTCTGACATATCTCTGAGACTTGTAGCTCTGGAATCTCCTCCTGCTCTAGTTCAGCAGCAGCTCCCAGCAGGTCCACTGCTTCAGTCTCTGAGTCAGGGTCCAAGTTCTAGAAGCAGGACATGACACTCCATTGTGAGCGCACTGCCAGTCCAAGACATTTTGCTGATAGATGTTGAGCCCAAATGCTAACTCTTTAATAAGAACCCATGGATCCACAGTCATCTACCACCCTTCATGTTTCTTCAGGAAAGAGCCATATTTCCACTAGTAAAATATCAGTATGTATGCCAAGGGTACGTAAAATTTATCATGGTAAGCCAGGGGTAGGCAACCTAAGGCCCAGGGCCCAGATGTGCCCCCCCCGCTGCCCCCCGCCGCCCGCCATGATGAAATTGATTATTGTTGTTATTACTTGTTCTTGGAGTTTTTCTTGGCAAAATCTCCACAGGAGTTTTCTGGGGCTGAGAGAGTGTGCATGCATATTTTTAATTTTTTTTTAAATTTTTTAAAAACAAATTATATTTATTTATTTATTTATTTATTTATTATTTTTGGTGCTTCGGTTCCCCAATTGTCTGAGGGACAGCAACCTGGCCCCCGGCTCAAAAAGGTTGCTTACCCCTGTGGTAAGCCTTCCTATAAAGAGAAGAAAAACTATTTATATAGTTGCAGAATAATGCAATTTGACACCACTTTAACTGCCAAGGCTCCATGTTATGGAATCCTGGGATCTGTGGTTTGTTATGCCACCAGAGCTTTTTGACACAGAAGGCTAAATAGCTCACAAAAGTACAAATCCCAGAATTTTATAATACTGGGTCATGGCAGTTAAAGCATTGTCAAACTGCATTATTTGTGCGCTGCAGATGCTGCCTAAGAGAGAGCCTTAATCATCAGCAAAGGGAAATAGGATTCACTGGGAGAATATACCTGGGGAGATTATCACACACCTTTTTTCAACCGGTCCGGGCATGGGCTGGGCATGGGCTTAAACGGGTAAAAACGGATCTTATTGCATGCCTCTGTGCCCAACTCGGCTGCATTGCAAACTTGATCCAGATCCCTGGCTTACTTTTCTCGCAAACAGGAAAGTATTGTTCTTCGAAAAGTCTTCCAGAAGCCTGGATTGGATACACAGTGAGACTGAGTTGGGCACAGAAGTGTGCAATAAGATCCATTTTCACCCGTTTAAGCCTATGCCCAGCCTGTGCCCAGATCGAGCAAAAAAGGTGTGCAATAATCTCCTGGGTTCGAGATACCTTATCATTCCCTCCAGAACCTTCCCAACTCTTTTAAGTCTTGAGCTAATGCCTTGCTATGTCATCTGAAGTTAAGCAAATAGGGTACGCAGACAATAACCTTTTTAGCATCTTGCCAAGGCACAAAAATCCCCCTTCTTATCATATTTGCTTAGTACTTTCATGCTAAGCCTTTCATTGCTGTTATTTTTCAAAAATAATAATAATCAGAAGCCTTTGGGGGTGTGGTAGAAGAGCAGTAATCTAAATCAGAGGTGGGAATCATTCACGAAATGTTGCTGGCCTGCAATTCCCAGCATTCTTTTCCATTGGCTTTACTGGCTAGAGCTAATGGGATCTGTAGTCTAGCAACATCAGGAGGGCTGCTTGGCACCCATCCTTGGCAGAAATTTGGTCGCTAGTTCCAACACAGACCCATTATTTAAATGGAATTCAGATTTATCAAGCTCCCTTTGATTCCATGAATCTATTCTAGTTGGGGCTAAAGGGATATGAGTTAATGTGTCCTCCTTTACAGAGGATAGTCCTGTGTTTGAAATATTGTTAGCAGTTAGCCATCTGTTGAGAAGTGAGCTATTTCTATCCAGTCCAAGCACAGTTTAAAGACGATAAAATCAACTGTTATAATAGGTTCAAAGCACACTGCAGAAATAATCCAGTTTGAGACCACTTTAACTGCCCTGGCTCAGTGCTAGGGAATTCCAGGAACTGTGGTTTTGTGAGACATTGAGCCTTCTCAGTCAGAGAGCTCTGGTGCCACAACAAATTACAATTCCCAGGATTCCCAGTTATCAAATTTGCAGATGACACCAAATTAGGAGGAGTAGCTAATA